TCATCTTGTCGACTTTTCTGTAGTCCAGTCCCTCGACCTGCTCTCTTCCGGCCGAATTGGTCGTCTCCACTGCCAATCGGTCCCCATGCCGATTTAGCACAAAAATGCTGCATCTTGACAACAAGCCGAATCCCGATGGAAGCCTTCTTTTTCTCGCACACCCTCCGAGAGGCTACAGTTCACAGCAGCTTCATCGTGACTAGCTGTTCTAGTCGGCACCTCAAAAATGGAACTGAAAAGCTATGAAAATGGCGACGCAATGGTGGCGGCAATGAGTCGAGATCCGACGACCTCGTCACACCTCAAGATTGGGGATGTCTTGCAGCCTCGCAACTGGTCCACCCAATCAGCTCGACCCACTCAACCCTTGCACCTCCCCAAACGGCCTGCAGCCGAGGCGAGAAGGTACGGGTGCTCATTTAACGGGTCATTTCGCGGGAAGCCCAGAAAACCGACCTCAACCACAACCGTCCAGCATGACTGGCATGCGGCAACTAGGCAGAAGCGACAAGCCGAGATCACGTTGGGGTTATGTACACTTTTTTGCGAGGTGGATGGGCAACGACGAATTCCCAAACCCAGGCCCACCACCCCGGAATCCCTTTGGGGCTAGGCCAGCTCCCATCGGTACTGTGTCGACAGATGAGGAACAAGTAACACTTACGTGCCTCGAGGGAGGCCATGAAAAAACCACCTCGACATTCGTCGCCGGTCCGACGTGTTGGCAGGGCCGAAAAGCAGGTGTTGTGATGGCGACGGCAGTATTGAATTGTTCATTTACAGCAGCTGCCTATCATTTATGCCAAAAACTGATTATTATTTTATCCATTTGCCCACGAGTACACTCTTGGCTGGACCTGCAATTTGCAAATGATGCCATGCCGCCTTCGGGGGGTGCATCGATGTGGATGTGCGCACGGATTCACACGCAATCCATACGCTCCACATGCTCACACCAAGTAAGTGTGTATGCAGCAAAATAATGCATCAGTGGGAAGGTGGATAGCTGGACAAGGGGACTCGATAAATGGTCGAATTTCCATGTCGCTCGGTGGAGAAGTAGATTTGCCCCCATGTACACCCATGGGGAGGTTGACCAATAAGACCTGGCGTAAGCGTGTGAGTCATTTGGTATGTACGCGTCCCGGCCACACAACGCATGTGGACACACACCAGGAAAGACAGATACAATTAGAGACATTTTTTCGTGTCTACAAATGAGTGCACTTGCCGACTAAGCGTGTCTGACGTGTCTTGATCCCCGGCCGGATGATTGAAGCCTAATCCATGCCTCGGAAGGGTCAAAGTCTTCCAACTATGCACTTGGCCAACTCGACAGGTCGTCGTGTGATTGGACCCAGTGTCTTTTGGGCTGTATCCACATGTGTGCTGTTGTCGATATGCCTGTCTGTGTAGGTGTGTGCTCTACTCCCCTGCGGCTTAACTGACAGTCGTAAGGTGTGTACTTGGGCGTCTTTATTCTCCCCTGCCCAAATGACAAGTGGAAGGTGAGGAAGCCGGCCCACAATGGTGGGCTTCACTAGTTGTGTGTGTTTGTGCGTTTGTCGGGGGGGTGGGGGGCATGGGGGCTGGATCAAGAGGTCCCGGA